ATATATATATATATGTTCAAACTAGTAAATTAACAACACTCGCAAAACATTATTGGTTGCAGGCAGCCAGAGATAACAGCAGTGCCGTTATTGATCACGTTAATCTTATTAGATTTTCAAATAGTGAGAGACCACAAACATTTTTTTGTGATTTAACACGCGATGTGACGAAGACAGCACACCACACACTAACAGATTCTATTCACAAACAACCAGACAGTGTCCCGACAGTGAACATGGGAAATCTCGCAAAATCTCTCACGGTCAAACGTGACTTTAGAGTAAACAAACATGGCGGACAAGGGGAAAAAAGAAATGGGACTGCTTTTTACAGAAAATTCGGGTTTGGATGAAGTCGTGTTATGCTTCCGTCTTCCGTCAGCTTGCCTTCTGATATTGTTTCATTCCACGTGACAATCTACAGAGTGCATGTGCGTTTGTCCTCAGGGTTCCCCCTACACAACAGGATTTCTGATCGTAAACATTCGACATTATGGATATTTCCGGTTTGAGATCGGTGCGGCCCTGACGTTCTTCCGAGCAGATTCAATCATTCTTAACACACCTCACACCACAGGAAAATCTGATGAGATAATCTGTAGAACCATCAAGATAATCGGGACTTTACCTAGGATTGTCGGAAGAGGAGAATTGAGCCCAAAATCAGCATGATAATCTTGTAATAGTTGGGTGCCTTAAAACTTAAATCTATAAAAAATATATAAATATTAGATGACAATTTTAACTCAAATGACCTAAAAAAAATCTGAAATGTTAACTGAAATAAAATAAGTTGCAGACTAGAATTACGAAAACTAAACCGGACATAAAAATAAGAAAAATAATAATAATAACAATGACAAAATTACTCAAACTAAAACTAACATGAAAAATAAGCTAATTAAACCTATGAATAAAATTCTACAATAGTATATAAATAATATGAAATTAACACTGAATAAGAGAAGAACATCCTATCGCTGAAAAAAAACATTATCAAAGTCCACTTCCCATTCAATGCTAAATGAACTATTTCAATAGCAATGCTTATGATCAGAGATCCTTCCCAGGCCAGCCCACTTTCATTTTCTCATTAAGCATGACTAAATGTGGTTGGCTATTCAGTGGGTGGCTTTCTTTACTTAACCCCACACACACACACACACCCAACCCCACGGTACTCCAGCTCTCCTCTGAGCTCCCTCAGCGCAAAGAGGAACTCCCTGGATCTTGTCATCTTGTTATTTTGGGGCTAAGAGGAGTGAAGTAACTCTGCTCTGTTTCACAGGATGGCTGGAAAACAATAATGTTGTCAGGGAGAATCGTTATTGAATCGCTGATCTCATTTGGTCCTTCATTTATTTGTGAGTAATGTTGCTTCGAACACAAAGGCGTTTCAATGATTTCCATGAATAAACAACTCCATGACAACCAAAAGATAGATTCTTTTTAGATTCTGAATACTTATTCTTTTAGTATTCAGTAAATACTAAAGAGTTTGGATTTGAAATAGGTGTGTAGAGATGGATTCTGATTATGTTCCAGGCGAGATGTTTTGAAAGCACACAAAAAGAAATGAAAAATCTCAAAGGAGATCTTTTTAGTATCTCAATAGTTTGTCCTATAGTGGATAACAATGGGCCTCATTCATCAAACTCTATTGTATAAATCATTTTTAAGAGCATTCTAAGGTACAATGTCTTATGCAGTGATATAGATATAAGGGGAATGATATATATATATATACACACACATATATATATATATATATATATATATATATATATATATATATATATATATTCCCCATATATACATATGGGGAAAATGAAAAAAACTTCATTTAGATTTATGCCATAGATGTTGTGATTTAATGAGTGTTAATTAAAGTCACAATGTAACAAAAATAGTGACAGGTCATTTATTCTGTATTGTGAAGTACAACCGAGTAAAACGGATTATAAAAAAAGAAAACAATTGTTGGTTCTATTAATCTATTAATCGGTTGTTGAATGGACAGAGGCAGATCTGAATGTGACATTGCAGTCAACTGTTAGTAAGAGGCAGAGTTTAAGAGGACTAAATGATTGAATGATTGGACAGGAATTCTGCCACACGTCACTAGAAAGAAGTCTGTAGTTTCACTGGAAGATCGGGTTATGACATTTCGATAAAAAATGACGAGGTCAATATACACTCACCGGCCACTTTATTAGGTACACCTGTCCAACTGCTCGTTAACACTTAATTTCTAAGCAGCCAATCACATGGCGGCAACTCAGTGCATTTAGGCATGTAGACATGGTCAAGACAATCTCCTGCAGTTCAAACCAAGCATCAGTATGGGGAAGAAAGTTGATTTGAGTGACTTTGAACGTGGCATGATTGTTGGTGCCAGAAGGGCTGGTCTGAGTATTTCAGAAACTGCTAATCTACTGGGATTTTCACGCACAACCATCTCTAGGGTTTACAGAGAATGGTCCGAAAAAGAAAAAACATCCAGTGAGCGGCAGTTCTGTGGGCGGAAATGCCTTGTTGATGCCAGAGGTCAGAGGAGAATGGCCAGACTGGTTCGAGCTGATAGAAGGGCAACAGTGACTGAAATAACCACTCGTTACAACCGAGGTATGCAGCAAAGCATTTGTGAAGCCACAACACGCACAACCTTGAGGCGGATGGGCTACAACAGCAGAAGACTCCACCGGGTACCACTCATCTCCACTACAAATAGGAAAAAGAGGCTACAATTTGCAAGAGCTCACCAAAATTGAACAGTTGAAGACTGGAAAAATTTTGCCTGGTCTGATGAGTCTCGATTTCTGTTGAGACATTCAGATGTTAGAGTCAGAATTTGGCGTAAACAGAATGAGAACATGGAACCATCATGCCTTGTTACCACTGTGCAGGCTGGTGGTGGTGGTGTAATGGTGTGGGGGATGTTTTCCTGGCACACTTTAGGCCCCTTAGTGCCAATTGGGCATCGTTTAAATGCCACGGCCTACCTGAGCATTGTTTCTGACCATGTCCATCCCTTTATGGCCACCATGTACCCATCCTCTGATGGCTACTTCCACCATGTCACAAAGCTCTAATCATTTCAAATTGGTTTCTTGAACATGACAATGAGTTCACTGTACTAACATGGCCTCCACAGTCACCAGATCTCAACCCAATAGAGCATCTTTGGGATGTGGTGGAACGGGAGATTCGCATCATGGATGTGCAGCCGACAAATCTGCGGCAACTGTGTGATGCCATCATGTCAATATGGACCAAACTCCCTGAGGAATGCTTCCAGCACCTTGTTGAATCTATGCCACGAAGAATTGAGGCAGTTCTGAAGGCAAAAGGGGGTCCAACCCGTTACTAGCATGGGGTACCTAATAAAGTGGCCGGTGAGTGTATATATTTTTTTTAAACGAAACATGCATGGATGAATTGTTCACAAAAAGATCATCAAGATTCATATAGAAGATACTGTATGGTGAAATTGTATTTCATGTCAACTTTAATATAAAAAAGGTGGATGACTATACAGTACTATGTTCAGTCCGGTAATAACATCCAGATATTTGAGCGTTTTATAATTTGTTTATGTTTCAGAACATGCACTGTAATTGGTTACTTAGTAATATTAATTTACCAGCATCTCACATTAAATCATTGTTGATAATAAAATCAGAAGCATGATTAGTGAGGGAAAATTCAATCCATACCAATCAGAATGCATCCAATCTGATTCCAGATTCTGAAAGTACTGTTTATATGAACCCTAAACGACGCAATCTAATTACACTGTGTTCAGAACGCCACCACTATATTGTCACCGGAGCTACCGCAAGTATAATTGTCATTTTTGCCTTGATGACATTATGCCAGCATTCTTTAGATACATGTCAAAAGAGCTTTTTAGCATAAATCAAGTAAACATTCAGTCTACAATGTGCAGTTTGTAAGTTAAACATTAAACATATTCAAGCATTTACATGTTTATTACAGGATTGAACTCAATCGGATCGATTGAAGTGTTTACATGAAGGCTTTTCAGTTCTATTGAGCCATCAATTCGATTATAAACAGATTACTTGGGTGCATGTAAACATTGAGGGGACACATCCATTCCCAAAACTATACAGATGGGTTCCCAAAAAAAATTGTTCAACTTGTGTTTCATAAATGAGGCTCTCCTGCCGCTCAGATTTTTCTACTAAAAGCGTCCAGTCGTCTCACACATGTCTCCTCTAGAGTTTCAGTAGAGATCTCTGCAGACTTTTAAATTTGCCAAGATATAAAATTCTGCAAATCCAATGTCAGAGACCTCAACATGAACAATTCTCATTAAAGTTTTCCCAGACCAAATAATCTGAGCCATGCTATACACATTAATAATTACTCTACGTCAACAATTGTCCCATTTGTGTCAATTTTTTCAAATAAAAGGTTTATGCATATCTGAGAACTCTAAGTCTCATGAGCTATAAAGAGCACCCACTGAGCAATAAGTGTTTCTGCGGCAAAAGCGATGGTTAAAGCAGTGGGAAACAGAGCGTCTCGACACCAAACATCCTTTAGGCAGCGTGGTCAACATCCACAGCAGTCAATATAAACCTGTGAGCCTGTGCCAGATGCAATTACACAAGCCTCTGTCTGAAAGATGGTTGTGTTGGCATGGGGTGTGTTTACGTGTGTATATGTGTGTGTGTGAGCGTGTTTGTGTTTCCTCTGGGTACACACACCTGAATGCATCTTTGAGCGACTAAGACCTCTGCTGACAGGAGAGTGGAGAAGTTTGTTTGAGGAAGGTAAGACGAGCCAAAGAGAGTGTAAATGAATTGTGTGTTTAAAGATGCTTGTTGATTTGGAATGAATGAGAATCTGAATATTCTTTACTGAGAAAATGTAGATGGAGTTGGCTCAGAAGCAGTGCTGGGGAGGAAGGAGAGAGAGACACGGCGGTGATAGAGAGATGGGTTGAGAGTCATAAAGCAGCTCAGACTCACATGGAAGATGCGTTTAACTCCTGAGACCAGTTTCTCTGTCCGAAGCTTCCAGAGGACGGGCTGAGGGGAGTTCAGCACAAAGACCAGTGGTTTTTGGTGCATTTGCAGGGACTGGATGGGCCGCAGATGTAACGCCACCTGAACACAGCAAAGAAATGGGTCAAATGAGAGCGAGAGAGAAGGGAAAAGACATGAAATGCATAGAGTGCTGAAGACAATGAAGACAGGAAGGACACATGGAGCTCTGAACTGTATAAATTCCACAGAGCTTGTTTTTCAGCCTTTTTAAAGTACAACATTTTGGTTCAGTTGGTCAACATTTGATCTACAACAATTTTAGGGAATTCAGTGACACTTTTTAATATTCAACATTTGTGAAATGAAAATTGTATATATCATTTTGAAAAACTGCAAACATAAGTCATCATCTTTTGCAATCAGTAAAATGTTGTTACTTTTTATTTGATCTTTATACTGTGACATTTTTAGAAAACAATTAATGAAAATGATTTTTTGAAATTGAAACAAAAAATATATATTTTTATAAATCAACATGCATTTCTAAAAACATGCATTTAAAACTAGATTTTTAAAATATTTTTTTTTTATTTTCTTCATCTGGTCACTCTCATTTGTCATTGACTCGCAAACACGGAGTTCACCTTTGCTCTTGGGTCACATTGAAGCCTACATCTCAAATAATATTTTAAGCACAACTAATGCTGCTTATTTTTATTTATGGGATTATCCTATGGCTATAAAAATCATGCTAGCAAAGCTTTTATTTATATCATAAATAAAATCCTGCTACAACAGTTGAAACTGAAATCCTCCCCTCGACTCTATTTGCATTTACGGTGACCCCACGTGAGCTTGCGGGCCCAATAATGAGAACCTCACTGTCATAAAAACCGATCATTTATCCAAACGTCTCTCCTGTCCTCTTTTCTCTTTCTATTCCATCCCTTCCTCAGTTGCATTCTGTTGTTATTGCAGTAATGTTAGTGCCAAAAACATGACTACAGAAGCACTGTGGACGCCTGTTACTCCTTATCAGAGTGTGTGCTATTTATGTCTCCACCCCACTGATAATCTCACAGCGACTGAGAAAGCCGTGTTTTTCTTTAGAAGGCCACAATATGTGGCCACACTGGTATTTGAACTTTCACACACAAGCTCTTTTGTCAAAAAAAAAAAAAAAATGGTGATAGTAATGGAGCAAGAGTAGAGGGAAATATAGAGCTACACAGCATGGATCGGTCGATTAATGAGGTTGAAGAGTTTATATAGATTTGTTTTTTATTTTTGGTTTTAGCTTTACTTTCAGCTTATTTACACAAGTTATAAAATGGTACAGATATTTAGCCTATTTATTAGTTGAATATCTGCCAGTAACATGACTTAATGGCTACACAATCACAGACTGGGTTATTTTTAAATGCTGGCGTATGAATGCAGATTAAGGCTTTTAAGATGCATTTGAAATAATTATTAGTCTTATTAGTGGGTGAATATAAATATATAATTGCATTTCCCAACATACAGAGAAAAAAAGAGACAAAGAAAGCTGTGGATTTGGATTCTGTCATTTCAAATATTCAGAAATCTGTTTCAGATTCTGAGGCATTTAGCCGGTGTTTTGTTGCATTATACCCGGTCTCACAGCTTCTGACGGGGCCCAGTGGGCCAAATATAACCTGCTGATTTAGGTCCTGCAGTGGGGTCGAAACCAAACTCCATTCCAGACATGGTTTGATTAACTACCTCTCAACACTGACCTGACAAACAAGCACTGCCTCATCACCTTTAGAGGTTTATTACTCACCCTCTTCATCCTTCAGGCACTGACCGATTACCTACACTTGAATTCGCAATCTTTCAAAATATATTTTTTTTTAAATGTCGGTTTGTTCCTCACACAAAGCTTTAATACTGCTTCAAAAGACCATAATTTTGAGAATTTATGATGTTTTGTGTTCTTTGGAAGCTTGGAAGTTGCATTAATTGTATTTGCATGGAACGAGTGAACAGTACATTCTTCAATATTTCTCCTGGAATTACATGATGCAGGTAAACGAGTAAATGATGACATACTTTATTATCATTATTATTATTTTGAGGTGAACCATTATTTTAAACTCTGAGGTGACCATGTATATTTCATATAGTTTGAAACAGTTTTTTTTGTGGTCAACAAAGTCATGTAGTCAAAATGTCAAATTGTAGAATCCTTTATATTTATGTATGGAATTAAAATATGGTGAGTATGGTGATAGATTTTTTTATTTTGGAGTGAACCATTCTTTCAAACTCTCAAAGGACATCCAGGATATTTTTAATATAGTTTGAAATAGTTCCTTTCACATTTGGCCCTTTCTCAGGCTAATACTATTACACACTTGAGAACATATTCCCACGACTACATCAGAACAGCCAGTGTCAAATTATTGACTTAACAAATTAGTAAGTTAAGCAATCAGACACTGTAAACTTAATTTGGAAATGATATTATCTTAGATCCAGTCAAACACATCTTCAAAGACGTTGCTTTGATGCAGTTACTTAGTGTGTAAGATAAGGAAAAGTTCGATTGAACTGCATATGAAAACTTTATTAATTAATTTATTATTATTTTTTACTGAAACATTGAATCATTTTATTTTTACCCTTGAGTGCAACATTCAGACCCAGAAGGTCATGTCCAACCAAACCATTTCTTATAACTTAGATTTATGTTAATGGCGGATAACCAAACTTCTTGTTGAAATACCTTATGACCCCATTTACTTACTGTACATTATTCAGGGTAACTCAGGGTAGCTCAAACGACATGCCCTAAATGAGACACTTGATGCGGACTTATGACTTTCTCTTGTGTGCATCTATCCACAAGATCACAGGCTGTCACATTTTCATATTATGGTGCTCAATAGCGCGCTCTATGTAGCCACAATGTGCTCTTGACCCGCCTTTCGCAAAACTACAATACCAAATTGTAAACTTGATATAGTAATTTACTGTACATTACTGTGTATGACTCTGGGCAACGGAGACCTTGGGCCCTATTTTAACGATCTGAAACGCAAGTATCAAGCGCGAAGCGCAAGTAACTTTGTGGGCGGGTCTTGGGCGCTGTTGCTATTTTACCGGCGGGATAAATGACTCTTGCCCCCGACGCAAGTTTAAAAGGGGTTGGTCTGAAATAGCTTCATTATTCATAGGTGTGGTTTGGGCGTAATTTGAAATAAATCAATCAGAGCGTCATCCAACATACCCTTTAAGAGCAGGTGCGCATGTTGCATGGCGGATTGTTATTATTATGGCGGATTTACCAGGCGGATCACAGCCGAGGAGACCGACGTTCTTGTCAGGACAGTGAAAGACAGAGAAGTTATGTTGTATTGTCACACTACTGCAAGGATGAAGACACAGAGAATGACGTTAACAGGTTTTATTTTAGACACTGTATGCAACTCCTGAATACAGGAAGAGCTTCGAGATCCACACAGGGGAACACAGGAGAAAACTTGAACTTGATGCCTTCTAGTCGATACTGGGAATAGCTGACCACTGGAGTCCTGGTTAGAGATCCGAGAATCACACTGGAGAACACAGAGAGGCGGTTTGGAGAATCCCGGCGAATCACCGCACACAGAGGCTGCTTGGAATATACACACACACTGAGAGGTTAGTGTAGAAGGACAATACTTGCTTAGATATACGGAGATTTCTGGAACCAGACTGAAAAGTAAGGACCCGGAGAGTCACTGGTTTCAAAAGACGAGACCTGACAGTGAGCTGTAAACTGACTGGGGTTTATATGCAGAGTTGGAGTGGTAAGTGAAGTGATGAAGGTACAGGTGTGGTAAATCAGAACTCTGGTGATTGCGATCGAGACCAGGTGTGTTGGGTTGAAGCTGGCTGGGGTGTGTCGTTGGGTGAATCCGTGACAGTACCCCCCCCTCCACGGCCAGCTCCTGAGGGCCGTAGACCCCGACGACGAGGGCGACCCCGTGGACGGGGGGCTGGACGATCCGGGTGGTCACGGTGGAAGTCCTGGAGAAGTATGGGGTCCAAGATGTCGTCTCGATGGACCCAACAGCGTTCCTCAGGTCCAAACCCCTCCCAGTCCACGAGGTACTGCAGCTGACCCCCCCGTCGTCGGGAATCCAAGATGGTGCGGACCTGGTATACGGCTTCGTCTGTGGGGTCCACCGGAGGAGGAGGGGGCACTTCGCCAGCTTCGGCTTCTGTGGAAGGGGAAGAGAGAGGTGCAGTGTAAGGTTTTAACAAGGAAACATGGAAGGTGGGTGCAATCCGGTAGTGACGGGGTAGTGCAAGTCGATACGTGACTTCATTGACCTGCCTCAGCACCGCAAATGGACCTATGAACCTGGGACTCAGTTTACGGGAGGGCAGTCGGAGGCGGATATCCCTGGTGGAGAGCCACACCAGCTGGCCAGGAGTGTAGTGGGGTGTGGGTCTTCGACGTACATCGGCCTGTTGTTGGAACCTCCGTACTGCCCCTTGAAGATGGACATGGGCTGAGTCCCAGACCCTCTCACTCTCGGTGAACCAGTGTTGGACCGCAGGAACGTCCGATGGTTCGCCTGTCCATGGGAACAGAGGTGGTTGGTATCCCAGAACGCACTGGAACGGCGTCAAGCCTGTAGATGTTTGGCGTAGAGAGTTCTGGGCATACTCTGCCCATGGGAGGTACTGATCCCAGCGGTCCTGTGCGTCATGACAATAGGTTCTCAGGTATCTCCCGATCTCCTGGATCTTACGCTCCGCTTGGCCGTTGGATTGAGGGTGGTACCCCGAAGTCAGGCTGACCGATACTCCTAGAAGCTTGAAGAACGATTTCCAGACTCTTGATATGAACTGTGGTCCCCGATCCGATACTATATCTTCTGGGATTCCGAAGTGGCGGAAAATCTCGGTGAATAACATCTCTGCTGTCTTGAAGGCTGTGGGAAGTCCGGAGAGGGGAATCAATTTACAGGACTTGGAAAATCTGTCAACGACCACTAGAATGCAGGTCTTGGAGTTGGATGATGGTAGATCGGTAACAAAATCCACGGCGAGATGGGACCAGGGTTTATTCGGAATTGGTAGAGGCATAAGCTTCCCTTCTG